AAGTTAGTCTCGCATACAAAAATTTATACATACATTGTTATGTGACCCTAGTTGCTCTGCCTATAATGTGACAGCACACTCCTCCTTTCCACCCCTGACTTCCCGTGTCCATTCAACCAGCTCCTGACCTTCTCTGCCTTCTCATCTCACCTCCTGGCAGGAGCTGCCCATTTAGTCTCAAGTATCTACTTGAGCTAAGAAGCACTCTCTTCACGAGTATCACTTTATGTCCTGTGGTCCAGTCTAATCTTTGTCTCAAGAGTTGGCCTCGGGAATGGTTTTAGGTTTGGGCTAACAGAGAGTCTGGGGGCTCTTATAGATGATTTTTATTAAAAAAATCACAGTACTCATGGGTGATATTTTATGAGCCAATCTGTTATTTAGCTAAAAGGTGACCTCAGTAGGTAGCTTCAGTTCAAGGTTTAAGGAGTATCTTCTAGTCTCAACTGATCCAGTAAGTCTGGACTTCTTATGAATTTGAGTTTTGTTCCACATTTTTCTCCCCTTCTGTCAGGATCCATCTGTTGTGGGCCTGATCAAAAAGATTGTTAATGGTAGCAGGACATCATCTAGCTTTTCTTGTCTGCAGTGCAATGGTCTTGTTAATATATATACAAATAAGGTATACAAATAAGGTAACTGTGGTCCACCAAAAGGATTGGAAAGCTTAGTAATAATGCAAATCAGGTGCATGGCATCTGTGTGGGGGTGGGACCATGCAAACAATGCCATCCTGCTAGGCTTAAAATGAGCCATTTCAGAGGTGGGAGGATAGGATCAAGAAACAAGAGCCAGGAGTGGAGCGGGTCCTTTGGACCCAGAATCCCTGCGCTGAGAAGCTCCTGGAACCAGGAGACCGAGAGAGAGAGAGGGAGCTGTAACACTGAAGACAGCAAGAAGCAGCGGAAGAGAAAGGGCAGCAGCATAAGCAGGAGACTGGCAGGAGATGGTGAGGTGGGCTTCCTGGCCCATGGAGCAAGAAAGCTGAGCGCCTTTGGGCAGGAGGCTTGCTGGCAGAGTAGGGTGCCTCCACGCACTTGGTGGACCTAAGTTTACTGAGCCATGGAGCTAGAGCTGAGCCCCTTCAGTGGAGGCTTACTGGCGGAGTGAGGTGCCTCTGGGCACTTATCGGCAGAGCTAAAAGTGCTTTGTAACACTTGTCCGAGCAGGGTAGAGGCCAGGCCAAGGTGCCAAGAGGCCGAGGGAACAGAGAGAGGCGTGCCTGCAGCATAGTCTGGGAAGATGCTTTCCTGATGGAAGAACTGTATCCTGAGTGTTCCTGAACCTGAATTGTAACCTGTTACTTCCCTAATAAACCCCATAATCGTGAGTATGGTCTGGGAGTTCTGTGTGGCCATTGCAATGAATCATTGGATCCAGCAGAGAAGCAGAGAGTGCCGTGGGAGGGATGGTTGGTGTCAGAATTGGTAATGATGGAAGAGAAGGCATGTCTGACCTCCACCTCATAGGAATCAGCCTTGGGCTGTTGGTCTTGATTCTCCTTCCCCCTTGTGAAGTTAGATGAGGAGGTCAGATACCTCCACCACACCGTTTTTCACATGGTCTTAGTAGGTGTCTTCTTAAATACTCTTTCTCCAGAGAAGCCTGCCCTCCTCTCCTATCTCTTATTCTTGCCCTTCATAGCACTTATCACAAGTTTGTATGATTATTAGTTTAGTGGTTCTCAAACTTTTTGGTTGCAGGACTCCTTATACTCTTAAAACTTATTTGCTGAAGGGGTACTGAGTTTCTGTTTGGGGTAATGTAAAACTTTTGGAAATGGTTAGTGGGGATGGTAGCACAACCTGGTAAACGTAATCAATGTCACTGAACTGTACACTTAAAAATGGTTAAAATGGCAATTTCTTTTTGGTTATTAATCATCACAATAAATTTTTTTCTTTTTTTTTTAAATTGTGCTTTAAGTGAAAGTTTACAGTTCAAGTTAGTTTCTCATACAAAAATTTATACATACATTGTTATGTGACCCTTGTTGCTCTCCCTATACTGTGACAGCACACTCCTCCTTTCCACCCCGGATTTCCCGTGTCCATTCAACCAGCTCCTGACCCTCTCTGCCTTCTCATCTCGCCTCTGGACAGGAGCTGCCCATTTAGTCTCATGTATCTACTTGAGCTAAGAAGCACACTCTTCACGAATATCATTTTATGTCCCATAGTCCAGTCTAATCTTTGACTGAAGAGTTGTCCCTAGGCATGGTTTTAGTGCTGGGTTGACAGAGAGTCGGGGGGCCATGCTTTCTTGGGTTCCTCCAGTCTAAGATCATTAAATCTGGTCTTTTTATTAGAATTTGAGTTCTGTACCCCACTTTTCTCCTGCTCCATCAGGGACTCTCTGTTGTGTTCCCTGTCAGGGTGGTCATTGGTGGTAGCTGGGCACCATCTAGATCTTCTGGTCTCAGGCTGATGGAGTTTCTGGTTTATGTGGCCCTTTCTGTCTCTTGGGCTAGTATTTTCCTTGTGTCTTTGGTGTTCTTCGTTTTCCTTTGCTCCAGGTGGTTTGGGACCAATTGATGCATCTTAGATGTCTACTTGCTAGCTTTTAAGACCCCAGACGCCACTCACCAAAGTGTGACGCAGAATATTTTCTAATAAACTTTGTTATGCCAATTGACCTAGATGTCCCCTGAAACAATGGTCCCCAGACCCCTGCCCCTGCTACTCTGTTCCTCAAGGTGTTTGGTTGTATTCAGGAAACTTCTTAGCTTTTGGTTTAGTCCTGTTGTGCTGACTTCCCCTGTCATGTGTATTTCCCTTCCCTTCACCTAAGGTTATTCTTGTCTACTATCTAGGTACTGAATACTCCTCTCCCTCTCTCCCCACCCTCGTAACCATCAAAGAATGTTTTCGTCTGCACCACAATAAAATTTTTAAAAAATTACTGAGGATCCCAAAGACATTTTGGTGATATAGGTTATATCTATTGATATTTATTGTATCAGGAATTATTGAGAAATTTAAAAGGTATTTACTTGCTAATTTGTTTTAAAATAACAAAAAACCCATTTCTTGTTCACATAAGTAATCTATTTTTAACAAAAAAACCCCATATTTTCCAAACCAACAACAACAAAATTTAGAGAGAAGAGAGTCATTGTTTTACATTTTTGCAAATCTCTTTAATATCCGGCTTAACAGAAGACAGCAGGATCCCAGTATCTGCTTCTGTATTCAGTCTGTTGTAGTATCAGGCAGCCTGTACTGTACAGACTGAAGAGAATCAGAGTGAAAAAGGCAGATGTATTTTATAATAATAATTTTGACCTCATGGGCCTTTTGAAAGTGTGCTGGGGAACCCCTCAGGGTTCCACAGACCACAGTTTGAGAACCACTGCCTAGCTTTTGGTTCCATGGGACTCATGAAGCCATATCCTGGGAGCTGAACCGTTCTGGAGCCCAGCAACCCAGGTTCAAGAGCTAGCTCCGGCACTACTGCAGGATGAGCTTGGACACTTGCAGCCTCTCTGAACCTCAGTTTCTTCATCTCTGCCATGGGGATGGGGATGATGAAAATAATCAAAATCCCTGCTTGTGGGCTGTGGCGAGGCCCATAGGAGATAATCTGAGCTGTGCCTGGCACTGCAGCATACAATAAACATTTGCTGTTATAATTTGGGAAATGCCATTTATTTTATTACTAATACTTTTTATTCATGCAATTAATTTCTCCTGAGGCTTGCCTTGTGCTGGGCGGTGCTGGGGACACATTGAAGCCTGGGACAGCCTGGGACCTGCCCTCATGGGGCTTACAGCTCAGTCTCGTAGGTCACAGTGTTTTTACTTGTGAGGACTGCTGTCAGCACCAAGGAGCCCTTGTGGGCAGTGGTTAAAGAGCTCAGCTGCTAACCAAAAGGCTGGCAGTTAGAACGCACCAGCGGCTTGGTGGGAGAAAGATGTGGCAGTCAGCTTCCATAAAGATTAACCAAAAAAATCTACTGCCATCCAGTCCGTTCTGACTTATAGTGACCTTATAGGACTAGAACTGCCCCATAGGGCGTCTAAGGCTGTAATCTTTACAAAGCAGACTGCCGCATCTTCCTGCCACAGAGGAGCTCTTGGGTTCGAGCTGCCAATCTTTTGCTTAGCAGCCAAGCGCTTAACCACTGAGCCACCAAGGCTCCTTCCTTAAAGATTACAGCCTTGGAAGCCCTGTGGGACAGTTCTACTCTGTCCTACAGCGTCTCTATGAGTTGGGATCTACTTGACGGCAGTGAGAATGGACCCTCAGCACGACGTCCCTGAGGAGACACAAATTCTCAAGACTGAGAAGGCAGGGAAGGGCATTCCAGGGGTGGGAACCGAATGCAGGGGGGTCATGGCAAGTGCAGAGGGGCGGACGCTCTGGACCAGTGACTACTCAGGGCCATTGTGTCCCTTCTCTTGCTTCCAAAAGGCCTCAGTCCTGTTGGTGATGAGAAACAGCTGTGCATATCTGATTCATCTCCCCACCTTCCCAAACCCTCTTCTTGTATAAATACTGCCTGGATTCCGGGGCTCTTTGGGGGAAAGTTCCACCTGTGATCCCACCTGAGTCCCTCATGCTGCAGATCCTTCTTTTTGCTGCATATCCAGCCACAGCCTGCCGGTTGGAGGCTTGGGACGTCCCAGCAGAAGAGGTGTCCAGGAGGGCGCGGAGCCGAGGCCGGGTGCCTCCACTGCCCCCCATCCGGGGGCCTGCGCTCCGGGCCGGGTGAGTCAGCCCCCGGCGGCTCCCGCGTCATCCCGGCCGCTTGGCTTGGCTCTATTTCGGGCTCCGGGCGCTATATATAGCCGCTCGCCTAGCCGAGCCGCCCCCCTCGGCTCCGGCCCCCCTGCGTCCCCGGCCCAGCCGCGATCGCCCGGCTGCGCGTCACCGCAGCTAAGTTTAGAGGTGGGTGGGGACGCCCGCCTGGTCACTGCGTCCCCCGGCAGCGCCCCGCGCTTCCAGAGCCTTCCGTCCCGCCGCTCCTGGTCCCCCCCGCCCCCGCCCCGCCTCGCCTAGAACCGCTGGGGCGGAATTGGAGGTCCCGGCCTCCACGTCCTCCATCCCCAGCCCCCTCTTCTGGGACGCACGGGGGACTCGAAGTTGGGATCTGGGGCAGGTTTGGGTGTGGATCAGGGGCCAAACTCCTGGAATTGCCAGGGGAGTTTGGGCTGCGGCTGGAATTTCAACTTGGAGCATTTGGAAGAAGGCTGCGGAGTCCGAGAGTGGACAGCGGGGAAGATTCGAACTCGCAACTCTGGGAGTGTGGAAATTCCCGTCCGGGATTCCAAGGTTCAATTTTGGAATTGGGCGTAGAAATCAAACTTGGAAATAATGCGGAACGGAGGGCAATTTTTTTTTTTTTTTTTTTTCCTCTTTAACTAATGTGAACAAGCTCAGAGCTACATTAACCTCGGGAGGCGGGGCCTTTGCTGCACTTTTGCGGCTGGGAAACGGGCTGGGAGAGGGGCCCCCCATCGCTTTCTCGGGGTCTTGCCCCGTATGAATTCTGGCAGAGATGCCGCGGAATACCAGGTCCCCAAATCCTCTAGTGGGGCGACGAAGCCCCCTGGCGGACAAGGCAGGAGTCGTAGGTTTAAGTGTGGCAATTCCAGTCCCAAAGGGAGAAACTGAGTGAGGCCTTTCTTCCGGGTCGGCCTCCTTCTAGAAAAGCTCTTTGCTCTTGGATTCAGGGACACAACATGTCCATGGTCCTTCTCTCTGTCGCTGGGACCTCATTTCCCTATCTCTCAAATGAGCTTAGCTCGTAATAAGTGCTCAATCTATTTTTAGTTGATGGTCATATTTACTATTATTATTGTTTATAAAGCCTTCCTTCCTGTGACTCTGGATCTCCCCCCAGTCACTTACTTCACATCGGTGTTTAATCTCCATGGCACACGTGACTTCCTCTCATTTGTGTGTTTATTTCTTTGTTGTTATCTGTCTCCTGCATGAGACCAGCTGTTATGCTCAGAGCTGTGTCCCCTGGCACATAGGATGTGCTCAATACACAGTTGTTCGAGGAATGAGTGAATGAAGTCCGTTTCAAGACGGGCCTCTACTCCAAGGTACACAGTCTCATTGAATCCTCATGACCTCAGCAGTTAGAGATGGAGAAACTGAGGCTCACAGCAGTGAAATCGCTTGCGAAAGGGCTCAATTTCTCTTCTTTGCTTATTCACACAACTGTTCTGTAGCCCCTCCTGGGTGCTGGGCCCTTTGTAGGGGCCCTGTAATACAGTGGTGGCCACGACAGCTCCAAACCCTGCCTGCCCAGGACTAGAGTTGATTTGACAAACCCTAATACAGACCTGGTGGTGTAGTGGGTAGGTGCTATGGTTGCTAACCAAAAAGTTAGCAGTTCAAATCCACCAGGTGCTCTTTGGAAACTCTATGGGGCAGTTCTACTCTGTCCTGTAGGGTTGCTGTGAGTTGGAATTGACTCGATGGTAATGGGTTGTGTTTTTTTTTTTTTTTTAAATATAGCCCTAAGGGGCCCTGGCGGCACAGTAAAGAGCTCAGCTGCTAACTGAAAGAAGGTTTGAACCCACCAGCTGCTCCGCGAGAGAAAGACATGGCAGTCTGCTTCTGTAAAGATTACAGCCTTGGAAAATCTATGGGGCAGTTCTACCCTGTCATTACTGTGAGTCAGAGTAGACTCAACAGCAACTGGTTAATACAGACCTGTGGGGGACCTGGTGGCTCAATGGTTAAATGCTTGGCTGCTAACCTGAAGATTAGTGGTTTGAACACACCCAGTGGCTCCATGGGAGAAAAGACCTGGCAATCTGCTCCTGTAAAGACTACAGCCTAGAAAACTCTATGGGGCAGTTCTGCTCAGGCACATGGAGTCACTATGAGCCGGAATTAACTGGATAGTACCCGATAACAGCAGTATAGCCCTGGGAGTCCCTGGAGGATGCAAATATTTAAGCACTTCATTACTAACAAAAGGTTGGCAGGTTGGTTGTTCGAACCTACTCAGGGCCCCCTTGGAAGAAAGCCCCGGCAGTCTGCTTCTGAAAGGTCACAGCTTTTAAAACCCTGTGAATTACTGTTCTATATTCTGCAACATATGGGGTTACCATGCATCAGAATCAACTCACGGCAATTGGTTTGTTTTTGGTTGATTAATATAGCCCTACTGTGTTGTGGGCGCAGTGGTTAAGAGCTATGACTGCTAATCAAAAGGTCACCGGTTTGAATCCAGCAGCCGCTCCTTGGAAACCCTATGGGGCAGTACTACTCTGTCCTATAGGGTCACTATAAGTTGGAATTGACTCAGCAGCAATGGGTATGGGAGTGCCAGGTATAGTTCTAAGCTTTTTACACATATTTATCCATTTAATCCTTTTAACATTTGTGCTAGTGTTATCCCCATTTTAGATATGCACAAACTGATGCACAGAGAAGCTTAATTACTGGTCCAAGGTCACACTTCATAAATGACTATGGGAAAAAATTACACCCAGAGCTGAAACTGCAGATTTCTCATCAGCGGCGGTGGGATTGGGAAGACCGGGGAGAAATATCTTCTAACTTTGGAAGAAAAATAACCTGGAACCCAGAATTCTAGATTCCAAGTGTGAGGGTGACATAAAGACATTTTCAGATGAGTAAGACTCAGAAAGTTACTATCCACAGATGTTGTTGTGTGCCATTGAGTCAATTCTGACTCATAGCGCCCTATAAGACAGAGTAGAATTGTCCCATAGAATTTCCTAGGTTATATAAGGTCACTTGGTCTTTTCTCCCACGGAGCAGCTGGAGGTTTGAACTGCTGACCTTTTCGTTAGCAGCCTGATGATTAACTATTACACCACCAGGGCTCCCTGTAAATTAGTAGGGAATGTACTCCAACAAGAAGTAAAATGAATTCAGGAGGAAGAAGAGGGTTGTAAAAAGTAATAGTGTACTCGTGAACCAATTGTAGAAATAAATATCAATTAGAAAAAACCTTTACAATCCACTCCTAATAAAACCAGAATAAACAGAGAGAAATACCATATTCATGGATACGAAAACAAGTTCAATTCTCTTGAAATTAATCCATTAATTCAATGTAATTCCAATCTTAATCCTAATAGGATTTTTCATGGAACTCGAAAAACAGATGCTAAAATCCATCCAGAAGAGAAAATTTGCAAGAATAGTAAAGATGGATTTGAAACTCAGCTGGGGGAGGGGAGGGAGAAGACCTTTTCTTAGATTTGCTAGAAACTGCCAAATCACCATCATCCTACATTTTGAATTGCTTTTCTTAAGAATCATTGGTACAGGTTTCAGTAACGGCAGTCAGGAGGGTCCTCATGGGTCCAACAAATCTTACTCTTCACTAAATGCTAATAGAAAAAGGTAAGAGTGGAAAGTATGTGGGTCTTTTGTGTTGTGTTTTATGAGCTGTTTATGTGAAAGATTCTCTAAAAGATGTTTGCCAAGATTGTCCTAGCTATTGTCTTTATACCTCAGGGCCCAGATGATGTGTCCTTGTGAGTCCAGCTCCAGGTTAGTCACATTTTCGGACAGGGAATGATGGCTTCGATATTATCTTCTAAATCATTCCCTCCTTTTGATCAGAGATTAGAGATAACATATTGATAATCAATACCTGGACTTAGTCCAGCTCCTAGATGGCGGCCATGGCAGGCTCTTCAAACCCACAGTGCTGGTTTTCCACCAGATATCATCGGGTTCTTCACCAGGATCTTAAGTAAGAGTGACGTTCTCATCAATTGCATTGCTGAAAAGAGCAGACTCAATGTACATCAACATTTTAGCCTGAGAAGACCTCTTTTTTTTTTTTAAATAATAATATTTTATTGTGTTTTCAGTGAAAGTTTACACAGCAAATTAGGTTCACATATGACAATTTCTACACAAATTGTTCAGTGACATTAGTTACATTTTTCACAATGTGTCAACATTCTCTTTAATTGCACTCTAGTCATTCCATTTCCAGTGCTCTAGTTTTCCTGCCCCCTTATCTTCTCATCTTTGCTTTAGAGTAATTGTTGACCTTTTGGTCTCATATAGTTTTCTTAATGGAGCACCATACTCATGGGTAATATCCTTTGTGTGCCAATCTGTTATTTCACTAAAAGGTAACCTCAGGGGATAGTTTTGGTTCAAGGTTTAAAAGCAGCACAGGGCGATAGTCTCAACTAGTTCAGTAAGTCTGGACTTTTTAAGAATTTGAGTTCCGTTTGCCGTTTTTCTCCCGTGCTATCAAGGTCCATCTATTGTGGCCCCAGAAGGCCTCTTAACACACCAAAAAGCCAAAGTCAGAACGGAAGAGATTGATAAATAGGTGCAAATAAACACTAAGAACTTCTGTGTGGCAAAAATAAGTAAATTTAAAGCACAAATACAAACTAGGAGGAATGATTTGCTGCATATGTGACTGACTAAGAATTAGAATCCGGAACTCATAAAGTACTCCTGCAAATTAATAGCGATAAAAAAAGGCACACAGCCTCATTTAAAAAATGGACAAAGGATATGAGCAAGCAATTCACAGAAGATAAAATATAAGACCAATAAATTGAAAAAAAAATATGTTCCCTCTCCTTAGTAATCAGAGAGTTACAAGTCAGAACAGTGTGATTACTATTCCTTTCGGGAAATGACTCATCAACCAGGTCTCTGATCAGATGTCCTTTTCTCTAGGAAGCTCCTCCTGATCCCAGGCTGGGACAGGCGCCGCCCTGGGTCCTACAGCCCTCTGGGTTGCCCCATCCCAGCCCTGCCCACTCTGCGTCGTCAGTGTTGGGGGACTTGGCTGTCTCTCTCATTGGACCGGGAGTCCCGGGAGGGCAGGCGAGGGCTGTTGTTGGTCACTCCGGTGTCACTAGCACCGCCCCGCACAGAGCCAGGCACAGAGGAAGCGCTTGGGGAATATGTGTGGAATAAATTAATGAATGGGGAAACTGAGGCCAAGTCTGTGGCAGAAACAGGATTCAAACCCAAGTCTCTGTGCTGAGAGAAGGGACCTAGTTTGAGCTCCAGCCATCTCTACTCCACTGAGGCCGGCCCGGAGTCGGGGTACATAAACGGCGCTCAATAACGACACTGGAATTGGACTGCTTCGCAATCAGAGATTCTGAAGCCCACACACCTATTTCTCAAACCTCCGCAGTCCTCCAGGACCATAGAGAGCTGCGCAGGGACTGCCCCTCTCATGCTCAACCTCTCCGGGGAGCAGCGAGAGCGGCTCGAGGGCCAGAGAGGCCGGAAGTGTGGTGAGCCCGGGGCCGCGCTGGCCGTCCCGGCGGTGGGACGCCTCGGTTCCCCTCTGGTGTTTTCCTGGCGGCCTCGGACTGGGAGGTAAGTCCTCGCCGCTCCGAGACCGCGAGGCTGGAGAGAGAGGTGGAGGCCGCGGGGTGGTGATTGATGGCCGCGAAAGCCAATCGCTGCACTGTCTGAGAGATGGACAAGACTGGGGGTGGGAAGGACGTCCAGGTGGGGCGTCCTGGGGCGGAGTTAACGGGGTGCTGTGGATGGTGAGGGGCCGATCGAATGGAAGGCGAGGGACTGTGGGGGAGGGGGAGCGAATAGAGCATAGGGGTCTTCCAGGGGCAGGGCGAATGGGATGTGTGGCCCCCTAAGGGGCAGGGCAAGCAGAAGGTGGAGGGTCGATCGGGGTGGGCGGGGCTTTGTAGAACCTAGGGTGTTTGGGACTTGACGCTATGGAACTCTGGAATTTTTTGGGCAAGAGACAGCTGTGTGTGTATGTGTGTTGGGCCGGGGAGTCTTACTAGGGAATGGGAATGGGAATGCAAACACGGAGGTCTCGTTCTCTCCCTCCGACACGTCTTCCCTCTCAGACCCTAGATGGACCCTGGGAAGGATGAGGAGGGGGTGCCGCAGCCCCCAGGGCCGCCCCAAAGGAAGAAGTTCATCATACCACTGGACGAGGATGAGGTCCCTCCTGCTGGGGTAGGACAAGGAGATGCAGGGACCATTGAGAGGCAGGATGGGAGGCAAGGGCACAGGAAAAGTTTGTGGAGCCCCGTGTGGTTTATGAGATGTTGGGGCCTGGATCGTCTTGGGCAAACAATCCTTTGCCCTCTGCAGGCTTCGGTTTCCCATCTGGAAAATGACAGAGTGGATCGAAGAAAGGGCTGAGGCAAAGGCCAAAAACTGGCAGCCAATAGGTGGCCCTGGGTTGTGTTTTATGTAGCCAGCGCTGTGATGTTGATGACATTTAAGAACGGGAAGGTTTTGCAATTTAAAAAGAAAATTCTGAACTTCTGACATCTTTTGGTAAATTGAAGGATCTGGCAATACCGACATCTCATTCCTGCAGGAAAACATTCTGCTGGAGCTGAGTTTTGGCCAGGGCTTGGAACTGGTTCTTCCCAGTTCAGTCATGGCCGAGGAAGCAACACAGGAACAGACCTGAATTTCTGAAATTTGGGTAAACCAGAATCATAACTGGTAATGGGAAGGTTACAGGTTGAAGCCCAGCTACAAACTTAATCTTCTTAGAAAACAGCAGCATAAACACTGCATAGCAACCAAATCTCTTGCCTTAAGGATTTTGTGCAGAGTTGGAAACAGTGGTGCCCCGCTCTAAGATGGTGGCTGACCAAGCCACTTTGAGTGTGTATTGCTCTCCTCAGTCCTGGCAATAATCCAATATCATGCATCAGGCTGCTGAAGGGGCTCACTACGCCTCTTCAAGTCTCCCATTCCAGGGCTTTAACCCCTAATTTTTCCCTTTCCAGTTACGGTTCCGGATAACTCAGATTTTTAAAATTCGGATATGTTCTGGTTTCACTTTGTCGGCCATACGTGAACCAGTTTGAACTGGTTTGAAGCCCTGGTTTTGGCTGCCACCTATAGACGATGAAGAAAAAAAGAAAGTGGGCTAAGAGTATAGAGTATGTTGGGGGAGACAGGCTACTTTAGACAGGAAGATGACATTTTGGTAGACATAAACAGAGGTGAAAGGAGTGAGCCATGCAGACATCTGGGGGGAGAGGGAATAGCCAGTGCAAAGGCCCTGAGGTCAGACGTGCCTGACAAGTTTGAGGAGAGCAAGAAGGCCAGTGGGGTTGGAGTGGAGAAAATGAGGGGGAAATGGTAGGAGGTGAAGTCTCAGAAACAAGGGGGTGGGGATGGGTCTTCAAGAGCCCCCTGGGCCATGGTGACAGCTTTGGCTTTTACTCTGAGCCCAGAGCCATGGGAGGGCTATGAGCAGAGGAGGGACAGGATATGACTTAATGTTAACAGGATCCCTTTGGCTGTATGTGGGGAACAGGCCAGCAGGGGTAGGGGTGGAGGTAGGGAGCTTGAGGAGGAGGTGACTACAGAGGTCCAGACTAGAGATGATGGCGACTGAGATGAGGTGGAAGCTGAGGAGGTGGGGAGAAGTGGCTGGATTCATATTTTGAGTTCCTAGCCCTTTTATAACTTTGCCTCTGGAAGGTGCATTGGGAGGATGGAAGGTGGGTTGACCCTGATGAGTGGGGAAGTACTCTCATACCCCTTCCCTAGGCACTAAACACCCTGCTCATCCACTTCCATGTCCCCACAGGCCAAGCTTTTATTCAAATCCACACGGAGCCTTCCCACCGTGGAGACCCCGGCCCAGGTGGCCCCTCAGACCTATGCCGAGTATGCCATCTCGGGGCCTCCGGGAGGGGCTGCAGTCACATGTCCCAGTCCCACGGGGCCAGACCCTCCGGCAGGAGAAACCCCCAACCAGGCCCCGAAACCGGGGGCAAAATCCAACAGCATCATTGTAAGCCCCCGGCAGGTGAGGAGGGGGACAGAGAAGTGGGGCTTTGAGGATTCTGGCAGGAAACACTGTACAGGGATGGTTCTGGTGGGCAGTGGAAGGAGGTGTGAGTTCTAGCTACTTAACTAAGGCAGTGCCATTCATTCATTCATGCAACAGCTGTGTGTAGGTTGAGGGTGCTGCAGCTATTCTTGTGAGGAGGTATGACTGTGTTCGTGCAGCTACGCTTTCTGTCCTCAGGTTTGTTCATTCATTCAAAAACTATTTATTAAACACAGATCTGAGTTCAAATCCCTACTCTGACACACAGTAGCTGAGTGATCTTGGACAAGTGAATTAACCCATCTGTGCCTTGGGTTATCTGGTGGTTTGATCATCTTTAAGTGGGGATTCATCAGTTTATTTAGTCTACAAATGTTTATGGAGGGTACAAGGTGCTGTTCTAGGCTCTAGGGGATAGAGTGAATCAAAGCAAACAGATAAATCCCAACCATGGATGGAGCTGGCATTCTAGTGGAGGGGAGAGGCAAGGTACAGAGATTATATACTAGGACCGAAGCACATGAAAAAATTCTCAACATCATTGGTCATCAGGGAAATGCAAATCAAAACCACAGTGAGATACTACTTCACACCTACTAGGATGGCTAGAATCAAAAAATCAGACAATAACAAGTATGGATGAGGATGTGAAGAAATTGGAAGCCTCATACGCTGCTGGTGGGATTGTAAAATGGGGCAGCTGCTTTGGAAAACAGTCTGGCAGCTCCTTAGAGGGTTAAACACAGTTACCATATGACCCAGCAATTCTACTCCCAGGTATATATTCAAGAGAAATGAGAACGTATGCCCACACAAAAATTTATACACAAACATTTATAGAAGCATTATTCACAAAATCCCAGTGAAAAACTCAAATGTCCATCAACTCTTGAATGGATAAATAAAAATGTGTTATACCCATACAATGGGATATTATCTGACGGTAAAAAGAAATGAAGTACTGATACATGCTGCACTGTGGATGAACTTTGAAATCATGATGCTGAGTGAAAGAAGCCACACAAGAGGTCACATATCTAATGATTTCATTTATATGAACTGTTAGGAATAAGAAACCTCATAGAGACAGAATGTAAATTAGTGGTTGCCAGGGAGTTATGGGATGGGGAGTGACTGCTAAAGGGTGTGGAGTTTCTTTTTGGGTTGATGAAATGTTCCAGAATCAATTGTGGTGATGATTGTACAACTCGGTGACTGTAAGGTTTGGAATCACCATGCAGAAAGCTATTTGGCCTTTGTTCTCTGTTCTTTTGAGCCAGACCAACACCTGAGGCTAATGAGTGGGGGGCTGAGCAGACCAGGAGGGACCACCTGGGGGCCCAATGCTGACTAAGCCTCATGAGGCATGATATGATCTGTCATGATCACCTAGTAAGGCTGATAAGAGCCCTGAGCCCTAAGGCTCAGATGGAGCTTCCTGGTTGGTAAGAGCAAACATGTGCTCTCAAGAGGGTAGTGCATCCCCTTAAGACATGGAAGCTCCATGCTGGGACCCCTCCGGGACCTTGCCCTATGCATCTCTTTATGTGTATCCTTTTTTTTTTGTTACATTAAAGCTGTTATTGCAGGTATGGTGTTTCCTGTGAGCTGTGTGAATCTTTACATTGAATTATAGGACCCAAAGGAGGAGTGGGGGCCGGCTGGTCTGAAGTGGAGGGAGTCACTTGAACTCCCAAGCTTGTGGCTGGTACCTGCTGACCTAGCCCCATGTGGATGGAGATGAGAGAGAGAAGGGCAGTGTGGGCACCTGGGTCTGAACTGAACAGGGAAGGGAAGCTGAGATTTCCACAGGAGTCAGCTGGCATGTGGAGTGGGATCTGGTATCCACCACACAATTTTGTCTCACAAGTGGGTGATTTTAGTTTCCCTGGACTGATTTGCACAATGGTGTTGTGTGCTATTGAGTCAATTCTGACTCATAGCAACCCTATAGGACAGAGTAGAATTGCTACATAGGGTTTTTTAGGCTGTAAATAATTTTTTTTTTTTAAATTGTGCTTTAGGTAAAAGTTTACAGTGCAAATTAGTTTCTCATTCAAACTTTATATACAAATTATTTTGTGAGATTGATTGCAATCCCCACAATGTGTCAGCACTCGCCCCCTTTCCACCCTGGATTCCCCGTGTCCATTCATCCAGTTTTCCTGTCTCTTTCTGCCTTCTCAGTCCTTGCTTTTTGGGCTGGTGTTGCCCGTTTGGTGTCATTTGCTTGATTGAACTATGAAGCACATTCCTCACATGTTTGTCATGTTTGTTTTGTAGGCCTGTCTAATCATTGGCTGAAAGGTGGACCTCAGAAGTGGCTTCAGTTCTGAGTTAGCAGAGTGTCCAGGGACCATAGTTTTGGGGGGTTCCTCCCAGTCTCTGTCACACCAGTAAGTGTGGTCTTTTTTGTGAGTTTGAATTTTGTTCTACATTTTTCTCCAGCTCTGCCCAGGACCCTCTATTGTGATCCCTGTCAGAGTGGTTTGGGTCGTAGCCAGGCACCATCTAGTTGTTCTGGGCTCAGGCTGGTGGAGGCTATGGTTCACGTGGTCCGTGAGTCCTTTGGGCTAATATTTTCCTTGTGTCTTTGGTGTTTTTCATTCTCCTTTGCTCTGGACAGAATGGGACCAGTAGATGTATCTTAGATGGCTGCTCACAAACTTTTAAGACCCCAGATGCTACTCACCAAAGTAGGATATAGAACATTTTCTTTATGAACTATGTTATGCCAGTTGACTAGATGTCCCCCAAGACTATGGTCCCTAGCCCTCGGGCCCAGTAACTCAGTCCCTCAAGGAGTTTGGATGTGTCTAGGAAACTTCTATGACTTTGCCTTGGTCAAGTTGTGCTAACTTCCTTCGTATTGTGTGTTTTCTTTGCCTTCACCAAAGTTAACACTTGTCTACTATCTAGTTAATGATTTCCTCTCCCAACTCCTCCCCTCCCTCGTAACGATCAAAGATTGTTTTTTCAATGTGTATATAAATTTTTGTATGAGAAACTGACTTGAACTGTAAACTTTCACAAAGTACAATAAAAAAAAAAAAAAAAAGAAGAAGAAACCATAATGAACACAGTTAACTTTTCATAGTTTCTCCCAACATCAGGGCTCAACTCCCACTGATCCTTCATTATAACCCAGAGACCCGTGCCCATTCATCCATTTACTGTTCTTTCCTAACACGTTGACATGCACAGAAATTCTACTTTCCCAGATCCAGATGAAATACACCTCCAGGAAGCTTTACCTGATCTTTCTGATCAGAAGTAATACCTTACCTCTTCTTGCTGTTCCCATCATCAGGCTTTGCCTAGAACTGTTTTAATTCATGTCACATACTTTAAATGCCCCCCTCCCCAATTAAACTATTTTTTTGAGGATGGGGGAAAAAGAAAAAGACTGTTTTTTTCTGTGTGGAAACTTTTTCTTGAGGTTTTATAATATTGGTCTCCTACAATATTTGTCCTTTTGTGATTGACCTATTTCACTCAGCATAATGCCCTCCAGATTCATCCATGTTGTGAGATCTTTCATGGATTCATCCTTATTCTTTATTGTTGCGTGTTATTCCATTCCATGTATGTACCATAATTTATCTATTCATCTGTTGATGGGCACTTAGGTTGTTTCCATCTTTTTATGCCATAAATTTTTACAGGAGCCGATTGCCAAGTCTTTTCTCCCTCGGAACAGCTAGTGGGTTCAGACTGCTGATCTTTCAGATGGCAGCCAAGCACTTAGCCACTGTGCCAGTAGGGCTCCTCAGTTGCACAGTAACTATATTAAAAACCATTGAATTGAACACCTTAAATGGGTGAATTGTATGGTATATGAACTATCTCAAAGTTATTACTAAAAACAAAAAAGGATCCACTTCATAGGGTCATTGTGAATATTTAAATGAGTCAAATCAATACTTTTCAAACTTTAGCACACATCAAAATCATCTGGCAAAAACAAAACCAGTTACTGTGGAGTTGACTCCAACTCATGGTGACCTCATTGGTGTCATGGTAGAACTGTGCTCCATCAAGTTTCCAGTGGCCGATTTTTTGAAAGTAGATTACCAGACCTTTCTTCCGAGGTGCATCTGGGTGGACTCGAACCACCAACTTTCAGTTAGCAGCCAAGTGCGTTAACCATTTGCACCACACAGGGACTCCATTTCAGCTTGTAGTAGCTGGCAGTCCTTGGAGTTCCTGGGCTGATAGATGCAGCTGCTGTGTGTCTGTCTTCACATGGCGTCTTTTACCTGTGTGTGTGTCTCTTTTTATAACTCAGGAGTGATTAGGTGTAGGACCCACCCTGCTCCGGTATGATCTCATTAACATAACAAAAGAAAGACCCATTTCCAAACAGGATCACATCCACAGGTCCAGGGGTTAGGAGTTCAGTTTCATATTTCGGGGGGACACAATTCAGTCCATACAGTAAGTGTGAGGGGCTGGCTGGAGACAAAGCTTGGGGCTCTTTAGTAAAACCCTGGAGCTGCGGGGAGGGGGAGGGGTTCAGGACCCGGGACATTCCAGGCTGAAGAGGAGGAGTCTGGGAAGAAGAGTTGGAGAAGACCCAGGCGCAGGGTGGGGAGGGGGGTCGAGAGGTGTTGGGAAGAGGTGGTGGTGGGAACTAGCCCTCCTCCTCCCTCCGCAGAGGGGCAACCCCGTACTGAAGTTTGTGCGCAACGTGCCCTGGGAATTTGGCGACGTGCTCCCGGACTACGTGCTGGGCCAGAGTACCTGCGCCCTCTTCCTCAGGTGAGCTCTGGGGTCGCCCCACCCTCCACAAAGGGCTTCCAGTCAGTCTTGGGAGGATCGTGCCCTCTGTTCTAGGCTATTCCATAGGAGACCTCCTGCTAGCTCTGGGCCTAGGTGTGGCCCTGTGTGGGAGGAAGGGGACCCTAGCCTAGAAGTGCCTGGAGCAACAAGAGCTGGGGGCCTGGAGTCTGGGCTCTGAGGGAGAAGGGGGCTGAGGAACTGGACTCCTGGGTCTGAAGGAGGAGGAGGCTGGGGGTTGGACTCCTGGGTCTGAGGGAGGAGGTGGCTGGGGGCCTGGACTCCTAGGCCTGAGAGAGGAGGGGGCTGTGACCCAGACTCCTGGGTCTGAGGGAGGAGAGGACTGAGTGACTCATGTCTCAGATATCCAAGGCTGGGGTCAAAGAGAACCAGGATTTTTCTAACCTCAGCACACCTCCCCGCCCAGCTCTAGAGGTTCCTTTCCAAATAGGGCCAGTCAGGGAAAGTGAAACTTCTCAGTTTCTGCCCTCCCACAGGGTGAGAGCTGGAGGCTGCTGGGCAGAGATGACCCCTAGTTACCTGGATAGAGCAGCCCCCCCCCCGCCTCCCTGCCAACACCCTCTGAGGCCAAGGCAAGCAGGGGGGGGCCAGGCCCTGCTCCCCAAGACCAGCTGCGCAGCGACCTCCAGTCCATGCTCTCTGGGGAACCCGGCTCCAGTCTCCACCTGAAGCCCATCTCTTCTCCTCAGTGATGAACCCAGGGGTCCAACTTTCAGGGAACCAGGGCCAGGCTGCCCTCGGTTCAAATCCCCGCTGTGCCACTTCCGGGAAGCATGATCATGGACCAGTCACTTAACCTCTCTCAACCCAGGTCTCAGCAAGTTTCTCTGCCTTTGCTATGTTGTGGCTGCTGGAGTCAGCCTTCCGAATTCCACTGAGGGTGGAGAAGGGCTTCCGGGGTGTCGAGGAGACTGAGACCTCCCAATCTCTCCCTCTCCCCTGTCCCTGGCAGCCTCCGCTACCACAACCTCCACCCAGACTACATCCACCAGCGGCTGCAGAGCCTGGGAAAGAACTTCGCCCTGCGAGTCCTGCTCGTCCAGGTAGACGTGGTAAGTGGGGGTCGCTCCCCAGCCAGCCTCACTGTTCCCATCTGTGAAATGGGGAGTTTTGGGCTTGGAGGTAGCAAAGTGGACTAAGTTGTTGGTTGGCTCCAACTCATGGAGACCCCGTGTACAACAGAACAAAACACTGCCCGGTCCCATGCCATCCTCATGATCATTGGTATGCTTGACTCCACCCACATCATTAAGGTCAACCCTACTTTGAGGAAGGAGCCTTGCTGGCACAGTGGTTAAGCGCTTGGCTGCTGACCGATAGGTCAGTGGTTTGAACCCACCAGCTGCCACTTTGGGAGAAAGATGTGGCAGTCTGCTTCCATAAAGATGACAGCCTTGGAAACCCCATGGAGCTGTTCTTCTCTGTCCTACAGGGTCACCATGAGTCAGAAGTGACTCAGTGGCAGTGGGTCTACTTTGAGGAGGCAGCTCTTGCCCAGTCATATTCTACCCTAGGGGGCCCATCTTCCAGCACTATGTTGACACTGTTCTGTTGTGACCCATAAGGATTTCATTGGCTAATTTTTGGAAGTAGATGGCCAAGCCTTTCTTCCTTGTCTTAGTCTGGAAGCTCTGCTGAAACCTGGCCACCATGGGTGACTCTGATGGTATTTGAAATACCAGAGGCGTAAGTTCCAGCAGCATTGCAACACACAAGCCACCACAGTACAGCAAACTGATAGATGGATGGTGGGGACTAGGTTACTTCCTGTTTCATCCCTTCCAAGGAGAAATGCAAGTTAAAACCTCAGTGAGAAACCATTTTTCACATCTGAGATTGACACAGGTGACCAAGACCTGTTGAAAGGCAGCAGGAGGGTAAAATTATCCGTCTCCTCCTTCCCTACACCCCCTTCAACTAGTCCTGTCCCTCCACCGCCTAAATATCCTGAATCTGTTTCATCTTCTCCATCCCCACAGCCCCTGCCCCATCCAGGCCTCCTCCCTAGTCTTACGGCCTCCAGCCTCAATCCCTTCCATCCTTACAGCAGCCAGAGGGTCTTCCTAAAGCCCAGATCTGACTCCCCTGCTCAAAAACTTTTTATGGCTCCCTAGTGCCCTCCGGAGAAGGCACCACTTCCCACCATGGGCCGCAGGCCCTACCTGATCTGACCATGACCCACCCCGCAGGCTCACCTCTAAGCTTCGTTGCAATCACTCTTTCATTTTACAACCTCCATCCCACATGGGGAGTCCCTGGGTGGCACAAACAGTTAATCACTCGACTACTAGCCGAAAGGTTGGCAGTTTGAAGGTTGGGAGGCACCTCAGAAGAAAGGCCTGGCAATCTGCTTCCGAAAGCTCATAGCCTTGGAAACTCTATGGAGCAGTTTTACTCTGCATGCATAGGGTTGCCACGAGGTGGAATCGACTGGATGGCAACTAACAGCAACAGCAATCCCATATGGAGCGAATTGCAATTTCTCAAGAGCTCTTTCCCCTCCCATCCTCTGCACATGTTCCCTATGCATGGAATTCCCTTTTCTGCTGTCCTTTACCTCCCTTGGAGCCCTAGTGGTGCAGTGGTTAAGAGCTTGGCTGCTAACCAAAAGGTCAGCAGTTCAAATCCACCTGCCACTCCTTGGAAACCCTATGGGGCAGTTCTACTCTATAGGTCTTATAGGGTCTCTTTGAGTTGGAATCAACTCAATGGCAACATGTTTGATTTTGGTTTGGTTTGCTTCCTTTACTCCTCATCGTCCTTCAAGACTCAGCTCAGATGTCCCCTCCTCCTGGCAGCCCTCCCTAATCCCCTAGGCCAACTCAGGCACTCCCCCATCCTAGCCCTACCCACTCTGGGGCATCACTGTCAGGGGATGTGTCTGTCTTCCCGCCCACTGGACTGAGAGTCCCAGGAGGGCAGGGCTGGGGCTGTGTCAGTCACCACTGTGTCCCTGCACTGCCCAGCACAGGCCGAGAACCCAGTAGGGATTCAGGGAGTGTGTGTTGAGTGAGAGGCTCTTGGCATCCTAGGCTACTGTGTCTTCAAGACAGACTGTTATTCCTTGCTTTCTCTCAGGTCTCTAATTCGGATTTTCTTTTCCCTTTCAGAAAGACCCCCAGCAGGCCCTCAAGGAGCTGGCTAAGATGTGCATTCTGGCTGACTGCACGCTGGTCCTTGCCTGGAGGTGAGATGGAGTCCCCTCCTCCCCCAGTTCAGGCTCTGTCATGAATCATTCCTCCTCCTTCCATGAACTCCCTGTGTGAACCTGGGCCAGGCACTGCCTTTCTCTGGGCCTCAATTTCCCCATCTGTACAATGGGGTCATAAAAGCTTTCTTATGGAGTCTCTGAGTGGCACTGAACGGTTAAGCGCTCAGCTATTAACAGAAAGGTTGGCGGTTCAAACCCACCCAGAGATGCCTGAGAAGAAAGGCCTGGCGATCTACTTCTGAAAGGTCACGGCCATTGAAAACCCTATGGAGCACAGTTCTACCGTGACATACATGCAGTCGCCACGGGTCGGAATCGACTCGACAGCAACTGTTTGTGTTTTTTTTTAAATAGCCTTCTTGTAAAGGTACAGGCACAAAAACAGATGATGTAGATGAAATTCCCAGGCACGTACAAGGCCCTTTTGAGTTAGACATAAATCTGGCTGAATAATTAATTCCACGTCTAAGTTTCTAAAGACCATTTAGATTGGCCTTCCATTTGGAAAAAAAATGCATCCTTTCTTACCATCAGCAAAATTCAATCCTGACGAATTACAGCTCTAAACAGAAAAAGAAAAACTACCGTGAAAGTGTTATAAGAAATCTTATGGGAGAATATTTTTTATAATCATGGGGTAGGAAAGGTCTTTCAAAGCAAGATACAAAAGCCAGAAGCCATGAAGGAAAAGGATGACTGATTTCAGAAAATTAAAAACTTTAAAACTTCTGGATGGTAAGAGGTATCACAAACAAAGTTAAAAGACAAGTGACAAACGAAGAAACTGAGGCCCAAGAGGTAAAATCACTTGCCTGATGGCGTAACAGTTAAGAGCTACGGCTGCTAACCAAAAGGTGGGCAGTTCGAATCCACCAGGCGCTCCTTAGAAACCCTATAGGGCAATTCTACTCTGTCCTGTAGGGTCGCTATGAGTCAGAATCAACTCGATGGCAACGGGTTTTGATTACAGTAAGGAGACTGATCTCAGATATGACATCCTCTAACCCTTCCCCCCGGCTGACGTGTGTCCTCTCGCCCCAGCCCCGAGGAGGCTGGGCGGTACCTGGAAACCTACAAGGCCTACGAGCAGAAGCCTGCGGACCTACTGATGGAGAAGCTAGAGCAGGACTTCATCTCCCGGGTGAGGCTGTCCACCTCCCTCCCAGGCACCTCATGTCTCTGCTGGGTCTGCCCCCAGCTCCAGCTCCAAGGTGGCTGAGCTTCTGTTCTGATCTCAGGGCATGTCCATTCATCCCCCAGGCCACTCCTCTCCAGTCTCATACCCACACTGCAGCCAGAGGCCTCTTCCAAAGTGCAAACCTGGCCCTGTCCTCCCCTGCTGTAAATGCTTCCAGGGCTCCCCAGTGCCCTCCGCAAAAGCCCAAGCTTCCCACCATGCTCTGCCTATCTGTCTAGCAGGAGTCCCTGGATGGCTCAAACAGTTAAGTGCCCAACTACTAACGGAAAGGTTGGGGGTTCGAACCCACCCAGAGGTGCCCTGGAAGAAAGGCCTGGCAATCTGTTTCTGAAAGAGCACAGCCTTGAAAACCCTATGGAACACAGTTCTACTCTGCAACGCTGGGGTCACGAGTCAGAATCTGTCTAGCCAGCCACGTTTCCCCAGGGCCCTTGCAGTTTCACTTACATTGGTTATACCGTCTTTCCACACCTAGCTCACTCCGCCAAGCATTTGCCCATTCTGTTCCCTCTGCTTGATTACCTGCCTGATTCCATCCTTCACCTCAGCTCAGATGCCCCCTCCTCCAGGAAGCCCTCCCTGATCTCAGGCTGGGTCAGGTGTCCCCCCCTTTGGGTCCCACAGCCCCCTGCACTCCCCTATCCCAGCCCTGCCCACTCTGGGTCCTCCCTGTCTGTCTCCCCCACTGGGCTGGGAGCTACTACTGTGTCTCCGTGGGTGCTCAGGAGTGCTTGCTGAATGAATTGTTGAATCTGGGCTCCAGTGGTGGAGTCACGGTGAGGGGCCCTGCACTGATGCCTTTCCTGGGGGTTTTTCTGGGACGTGCTAACACGACAGCTACATCATCAGGCCTTGTACTGACAGCACCCTCGGCCGAAGCTCTTGCTTCGTGCTAAGCACAGCAGCTCAGCTACCGGGTTTACAGTCCATCACTGTGAAAGCCTCTGTCTGAGGGGAGGAGGGAAGGTGAAGTACTCACCCAGTGTCACAGAGCCAGGGACTGGCAGGGCTGGGAATTGAACTGAGGTCATCACACACGGTCCACAATGGCCATCACTGCATGATTTGTCGTCACCTACCGTGGGCCAGGCGGCCTTCTTAGTGCACTTCAGTGGATGTCCACAGCCGCCCTTGAGGAGGGTCCTATTAGGATCCCTACTGGCTGCTAACCAGATGGTTTGAGACCACCCAGAGGTGCCTCAGAAGAAAGGCCTGGCAATCTACTTCTGAAAAATCAGCCATTGAAAACCCCATAGAGCACAGTTCTACTGTGACACACGTGGGGTCGCCATGAGTTGGAATTGACTCAGTGGGAACTGATTTTGGTTATTTGCCCAGAAGCAGAGGCCCAAAGGGGTCAGCTTCCATGCCCTGCATCTTACTGGGAACGAGCAGTGGAGCCTGGCTTGGAACCCAAGTCCAACCCTGAGGCTGTCTTCCCCAGGGCAGAACCAGTGCCTCAAGATCAATGGCATTTATTTTATCACATGACTGACATCCCCTCAGCTAGCTGGGGATCAGGGGATCCCTCTGAGATGACCGTTTATTAATCAGTTAAAAAAAAAATTACTGGTGGTTGCTGCATACTGGACAGTCTGGGGACCCAGCAGTAAGCCAGCCCTGTCCCCATGGGCTCGGTCTCTCTCCTTCCAACACACCTATCTCCCCTGCCCTTCCAGGTGACTGATTGTCTGACCACCGTGAAGTCAGTCAACAAAACAGACAGTCAGACCCTCCTGGCCATTTTCGGGGTAAGGAGCAACTCCCCTGCCCCTATAGGCATTTTTAGCCCCTGGCCTTTTCTAGGAAGCCCCACCCCTACCCGTTTCCTTCCACCTTCCCACCTGGCCCGCAGCCTCCCCTCCCCCTAGGAATACTTTAGGCTCCCAATCAGCTGGGGCAGGGTAGGGTTTTGTGTTCACCTTCCCTGACCCCTCGCTCCCAACTTCCTCAAGTCTCTGGAACAGCTCATCGCTGCATCGCGGGAAGATCTGGCCTTGTGCCCAGGCCTGGGGCCGCAGAAGGTAAGAGCATTCAGAATGGGCTTGAGGTGTTGGGGTACAAAGGGATCCCAAATACATGGGACTTTAGACCCCAAAGTCCTAAGGTTCTAGAAAGCCCAGGGTACCTGTCCTACAGACGGGGAAAACTGAGGCCCGGGCAGCCCAACTTCACACAGCCAGTCTGGGATAGACTCCAGACGGGGCTACTTCTCTCTTGGTCCCCAGGGCCCCTCCTAGCAGGGAGGAAAAAAATGGTGCTAATAATGTTCCCACTCTCCAGATGTACCAAACAAATGGCTCATTTAATGACTGGGTTCTCATTTCTCTCTCTCCCTCCCGCCCAGGCCCGGAGGCTGTTTGATGTCCTACATGAGCCCTTCTTAAAAGTACCCTGATGACCCCAGCTGTCAAGGAGGCCCCAAGTGTCATAATAAAGCATTTGCCCATTCCAGGCTCCTGCTGGGTGTGGCTGGTGTGGGTGCTGGGGAGGGGGTTCGTCCTTGGGCCCTTGGGCCACCTTCAGCTCATGCTGGTTGCAGTCATCAGTCTCCCCTGGGGGACACTACACAGGATCCTGCTGCAGGTACTTCTTCCGCTTCTTCTCCCGTCCTCCTGTGGCCACCTCCCCAGGCTCCAAATTCAGCAGCAGCTCTGGCATCTTCTCCTGGGGTGCCATCTCTGGTCCCCCACTCTCCCGGCCCCGCTTCTTCTTTTTGGTGGATGCCGGAGCTGCCTGGGCCTCAGGCTCACCCTTATCCTGCAGCCCAAGCTCCATCATCTGCCCTTGCGGGTCAATCCTCTCAGTCCCTGGCTCCATCACCTTATCCCCTCTTTCTTTCTTCCTCTTCTTGGTAGATGCCAGAGCCGCCTGAGGCTCCGTGTCACCTGGCAGCTTAGGTGCCACCACCTCGCCTTGTGGCTCTGCCTCTGGCTCCATCATCACTTCTTGCCACTTTTCTTTCTTCCTCCTCTTTCTGATAGATGCCGGAGCTGCCTCAGCCGGAGGAGCTGCTTCGGCTGGAGGCTCAATGTCATCTGGCAGTTCAGGCTTCATCATCTCCCCGTGGAGCTCCACAGGTCTCATCTCTGGCTCCACACCTTCAGTCCCTGGTTCCGTCATCACTTTGTACCCCTTTCCTTTTTTCCTCTTCTTCATGGAGGGCAGTGGGATGGCTTCCTCTTGTGGCTCCACCTTCACCTGCAGTGGACCATCAACTATCATCTCCTCCACCGGCTCTATCCCTTCCATCCCCTTCTGCCTCTTCCTCTTCTTGGTGGGGAAGAGGAGTGTCTCTTCCAGAGGCTCGGTTTTAACCACAAGTTCCAGCTCCACTGTCTTTTCTTGTGGCTCTGGCATCCCCATTTCTAGTTTGACCACTTCTGCCCCTCTGAGCTGCTTCTTCCTCTTCTTGGTAGTGGGTGGGAATGGCACTTCCAGGGGCTCCAGCATCTCAGCTGCAGGCTCTGTCGCTAGTGGCTCTGTCACCTCCGGTTCTATCAGCTGCTGCTTTTTCTTCTTCCCCACACTCATCTCTGGGGACCCCAGAGCTGTGTCCACCTCCAGGGATCCGTGCCCGTTCACTGCCTCCTGTGGGACTGAGGCCTCTGGCACCTGCCTTTTCTTTTTCCTCTTCCCAGAGGCCATTGTCTTCAGGGCCAAGGCTGACCCAGACCCTGTGACTGGGGGGCTGCCTCCAAAGGCACAGAACCGAGGCTTCAGGCCAGGGGGGATCTGGGGTCGGGGACTGGCTGGAATGGGCTGCAGAAGCGTCCCTGACAGGGATTGTTGGGGTCCTTCAAAGATCCTTAGGCTGCCCTGGGGGGCAGGGGCACACGTCAGTCCACCATCCGTCTCGGCTGAGGGGGCCAGCAAGGTGGCTTCTCCAGCCTGGGGGCCGCTGCTGCTGAGGATTCGGTAGCGGTGCCGCTTCCCTGCCAACTTGCCCTTCACAGTCCGGGAGCCAGAGAGAGGCACGAGCCGCCCGTTGAGGCTGCAGGGAAGAAAGGGGAGAGCAGAGGGTAGGTCAGGTTCTTTTGGTGAGACAGGGAAAAGGAGCCTAGAAGCAGCATTCCTAGGTGCGTCAGGAATGCCCCCCCTAAACTCCGCCCCCAAGCTTAGCATCTGGGGTGGGGCGTATTCCCAGGAGGTAGATGGGACCGCTCACCAGTCTGGGGTGAAGTCCGCAGGGGCCCGGATGAGCCATAGTTCCGTATCTGGGCCCATCAGAGCCTCCAAGGAAAAACGAGGGAGCTCTGAGGCTGGGGGCATCGCCGCAAAGTTGGGAGGACAAGAGAACCGAGCAGCACCTGCGGGAGAAGAGGAAATGGGGGGCTGTTGGCACTTTCCTATCGGTCTGAACCTCCAGGACTTCTCTCTCGGCCCACTGGCCCCAATCTCGAGTGCCCCCCTCCCCTCACCTGGTTTCCCCTCTACCTGCTTGCCTGTCACCCGGGGGCGCCCTTCTCACCGCTAGTTTTGCCCCCAAGATACCCTCTCTCGGAGCTCCCCCCAGAGATACGCTCTTTCCACCAATCCTGTCCGCAGGAGTGGCTTTTCTCCGCCCAAACTCTCCTGGGTGCCCGTTTCTCCTCCCGCCAGTCCACCCTCCACACCCCGTCAACTCGCCTTGAGGATGCTCACGGCCCGACTCGGCGTCCGCCATCCCAGAACCCAAACCGCGCGCAGAGCTAGCGGTTAGAGCCGCCTGAGCCCTGCGGCCGACCACGTGGAACCGGAGGGGTGGGGCCTCATCCGGGAGCGCCCAAGTGGAGCAAGCGCGCGGGGGGCGTCGCTCGGAGCCTGCTTGTTCTGTGAGTACACCTGGGGGAAATTTCCAACTATGCAGAGCAGACAACCGAGGAAAATGTCTTTTCTTGAAAATCTGCTCCCGAAAGTGGCCGATTCGCTTCTCTGCGAGAGTCCGAGCCTCACTCCCGGCAATTCTCTTCCTACCGTCTCTCAGACTTGATTTGCCCCAACGTCGCCTTAAAGGGACAGCTACACTGATAGGACTTAAAGAGACCAGACCGATTAGTCAGAATTCTTAAAGAGACAGGTAAGAGTCCTGCTTAGAGGGTCTGTGCTTCCAGTGTTGGAATCCCTATCGGGGAGACTGAGATGCCTCGGAAATTCAGAACTTGAGTGGGAGAGGTGGGAAAATGAAGGAATGGAGGGGTAATCCCTTCCGATGGTGTGAAGTACCAGCCAGGGATGGGGCCTTCAGGCTTCTGCGAGCGGGAAACAAGGGGAGGACGAGCCAGGAGGCGGAGCCTGGGATCGAGGGGCTGAGCCTCCGAACCTTGGAGCAGGACACGAGTGGGGCGGTGCGGTTGAGGGGCGGAGGTTGTGGATCAAATGAGACCGGTAGATGCCCCCGTGGATTTAGTCTAGAGCGTGGGGACATTCCCGACGGCTTTGGGAAAGGGTGTAGAAACCCTGACCAGCGCCCTCTACCTGTCCTGGGGCCCGTGTAAACAGCGCCATGTGCACGTGCATTTGGCGGTGGTGTCCACGCCCCTTCCCACCCCTACCGCGCCGCGTGGGGCGGCGGGTGGAGCCGCGGGTCGGTGGTTAGACAGGGTGACCCGACTGCATTCCTGGCCGGTGTGTCAGCGTCGCTCCCCGCCCCCACAGCTGAGATTTCAGATCCCACTTTAGAATAGGGCGGGAGCAGAGTCCCAGAGCGCAGGGAGGGTCAGGGGAAGGAAAAGCGCTCCCTCTGCCCGGGATCTCCAGACAGTTCCTGCGGGTGGGCAAGACACCGGGGCACTGCCCCTTCGGGCTCCGGGACTACAACTCCCAGAGGACTCGAGGCGGGAGTGCCCGACGTCCGTCGCGGATACTGCTGGGGATTATAGTCCCAGCTTCCCACTCTGGGCGCCCTTGCTGGGCGATCCAACCCTTTTTTACCGACGGGGAGATTGAGACCCTGAGGCCCAAGGGGATACTGATTTAGCAGGTCCCCTTTCTCGCCTTAGAGGCGGGGCACATGAGCCTCCCCCAGCCTCTAACCTTCTACCCCTTTGGTGGCGTCCAAACCTTCACTCAGGAAGGATGAAACTGAGTCTGGCTCAGGGATGGGACGGGGGCTCGGGAGTTTTATCTCCTGCAGCCACAGGGAAGTACTCTGCTCCTGTGTTTCCCTGGCCAGGTCTTTCTCGGCCTCTGAGCCTCGCCCTTCCTGTCTGTGAAATGGACTCCAGCCGAATCCAAACGCGAACTTCTCAGTCTGTGACCTGACCCTCCGGGACTACAAGTCCCAAGGTGCTCGAGGCGACCCTGGCTCCCCCTCCCCTCCCGGACCCACCTCCCTCCAGCCTAAGTCACGTCGTCTAACCTGTTCCCGGCGCCCGCCCCTCTCGGTCCTCCGCTCCCCGCAGCCGGAGCCGGAGGAAGTCCCCCGGTGCCAGGATCTGCCCGGATCCGTGAGTTCCACTTCCCTGGGGTCCAGCGGCCCGGGAGGAGCCAGACGCCCGGGTCCCTGGGAGGACTGGGAGGGGATTCGGACTCTGGGTCCCGGGGCGGAATTGGGGGTACGCAAACGCCTGGGACCCTGGAAGGCGAGAACTCGCACGCCTGGTTTACTGGGCGGAAGGAAAGGGGACTCAAATGCCTGAGTTATCAGAATGTTGGGCTCGGACGACTTGGACCCGGGGAGACGTTGGAGCTGGGATTCCTGAGTCCGAGGAATGGGAGGCGTTCGGAAGCCTGAGTCCTGGGGCAGAATTGGGGTGTTGGATCCCTGAGCCTTGGGCAGAATTGGAAGGTTTGGACTCTTGGAGCTCTGGAATGGGCGGCCATCCCTGCTCGCCCCCCAGCTGTCTTCTCGGCTGAGTCTTTAGATCACCCATCAGAATTAGGGGTAGGGTGGGAATAGTGGAACCTGGGCCTCTGAAATGCAGCAGGACAAGGACACGGGGTCCCTCTCGAAGGCTGTGTCCTGGCGCTTCCTCCCCCCGCCCCCCGCGACTTCTTGGCCCTGGGGTGGAGGCGGGGGCCGAGGCAGCTCTCCAACCTCCTCTGTGCCGCCGCGCGAACCCCAACATGTCATTAACCGGGGCGTCAGACCTGCCTAACCAGAGGAGGGACTTCCGCCCCAAGGCGCCCCCTGGCGGGGGCGGGGGACTCCTATTGCACCATAGGGAGTGGGAAATATCTGGGGTTTGCAGGGGGCGTTCTGGAACCCAGGGCAGAATTCCAGAACACGGAGTTGGATTCTGGTGGGCTTGTATGACTGGGCACTTACACATTACACTGAGAGGAAGGGGTAAACTGAGGCTTAGAGTGCTCACACAGGCAGCAGAGTTGGGGGTCTGGATCTGACATCCCTCTTCTTCTGCACCTCTCTGGTGGACGGAACTCCATCCGTTCCCACCAGATTTTCTGACTAACCTTCTCCCTTCCAGCGCTCCTTGCGCTGACCCTGAGGTGAGAAATGTCACCTCCACCCTCCTCTGTCTGACCTGAGGTAGTGTGGGAGATAAGAGAGGGATAGAAGCTAATTCGGGAGGTGTCTATTTGTCCTTGAGGCTGGGGGAGGGCAGGGCCTGGCACCTCCCTCTGTCTTGTCCCTTCTCTCCACCCTCATCTCTGCGTCATGTGGGGGATTAAACTAGGGGTGGGAGAGGCAGGAGGTTTGGATGAGAGCGCACTTTCTAGTGTCTGGGCTTGAAGGGCAGTTGCTGATAGTCTAAGATGAAATTAAAAATAATAACTGTGGCTGCGAAGCCAGGGCTCAGAGCGTGCCAGGCTCTGGGCTGGCATCGGTTTCCACGAGGTAGACAAGATGGTTCCCATCATCCAGAGGAGACCTCTCAGGCAACTGTGCAACAGTCCACCATGAATGAGGTTTGCTGACCCCAGGAACTGACTCCTCCCTGCTCCGATGGGGAAACTGAAGCCGGAGAGCAGGCACAGCCCACACCCTGGGCTTCCACTTCCCTCTATCTGGAATCTTCCAGGGCTCTTCCTGCCCCTGTCCCTAAATTAGTGGGGGTGATCACTGGCCAGAACTCAGAGATGTACAGGGTGAATTAGGGGTGCCGAGATCCCATGGCTCAAGAAGTGGAGACTCAAGGAGTCACTTTGGGTCTTGAGCCTTCCTTCTGTGCCAGACCCTGTGTTTGCTTAATGTACAGGTGAGGAAGGCAGGTAATATAATAATTCTACGTATGTAAGCTTTGAGGAGCCCTGGTAGTGTAGTGGTTAAACGCTAGGCTGCCAACCAAAAGGTCGAAGGAATTTACCAGCCACTCTGCAGGAGAAAGATGTGGCAGTCAGCTTCTGGTAAAGATTACAGGCTTGGAAACCCTATGGGGCAGTTCTACTCTGTTCTATAGGGTCGCTAACCAAAAGGTCGGCAGTTCGAATCCACCAGGTGCTCTTTGGAAACATTATGGGGCAGTTCTACTGCCCTTTAGGGTCACTATGAGTCGGAATCGACTCGAAGGCAATGGGTTTGGTTTGGTTTTTGTTTACTCTGCTCTATAAGGTCGCTAAGAGTTGGAAGGAGTCCTGGTGGCACAGTGGTGAAGAGCTCTGCTGCTTAACCAAAAGGTCAGCAGTTCGAATCTACCAGCTGCTGCTCCTTGGAAACCCTACAGAGCAGTTCTACTCTGTCCTGTAGGAATCAACTCAACAACAACAAGAGTCGGAATGGCCTCGACGGCAGCAGATTTTTTTATGTGTGGGAGCTTTATTTCATGCCCTGCACTCTTCGAAACCCAGTACATAAATCATGTCACACAAACCTCACAACCCTTTGAGGTGAAGGTATTAATTCATACACAGGAGGAGACTGAGGCACAGAGAAGCTAAATAACTAGTCCAAGGTGGAGGCTGAGAGAGGGGAAGGCCCTTTTCCTTTCCACAGACAGCCACAGATGGCCGCAGAACGTCCCACAGACTGTAAATCAATTCTCCAAGAGGGCGGGACCTGTCCCAGGTCTAGTCAGCCCCAACAGAGCTATAGTATTCTCAGTGTTCCCAGCCTTGCCTGGCGCTCTGACCCAGCTCCTACTAAGGATGACTCCTCTAGGAAGACCTCAGAAACCTTAACTCCAAAGAACCTGGCTGAGGTGCGGGAGAGACGGGAGAAGGACGAGAGACCGGAGAAGGACAGGTAGAGGGGAGGGGGCAGGCTGAGGATGGGGAGCTGGAGTTGGAGGGGAGCCCGGAGGCGGGAACCTGGGGGTGGGGGAGCCCAGAGGAGGGTTTGGAGAGGTGGTAAGGAGCTCTAGGAGGGAACTGGGGGTGAGGGAGCCCGGAGGGGAGTTTGGAGAGGTGGTAGCGAGCCTGGGGAAGGAACCTGGGGGTGGAGGAGAGCTGAGGGAACGGGAGTTGGAGTGGGAGGGGAGCCCGGGGGAAGGGACCTGTGGGTGGAGTGCTGAGGTAGGGCCCTGTAAACAGAGGCGCGGCCCTCGCCGCCCCCAAGACCCACGCGGTCCCCGCCCCTCCGCCGCAGGACGTGCCGCACCTGTCTGGGCCCGCAGCGCATTCCGGCGAACTTAGCTCAGGTGCTGTCCGCCCGCCCGTCCGGGGTCGGGCCGTGACCCGGGGGCGCCCCCTGGCGGCCCGGATACCTCCGCGCGCACGAGCCCCCGGAACGGCCCCACGCCCAGGGCTGGCATTTCCTTAGTGCCAGGGGACGTCAGCCTGGAATCTGAGAATCTTAAAAATTTGAGAATCGTGAAATCCCCCCAAAGAACCAGTCGCTGCCGGAATAGTGGCAGTGGAGGCTGCATAGACTTGTTCATTTTAATATTTTAACAGGCACAGAGTGTTTTCCTGTGTATCTCTTTCTGAGAATCTAAAAGCCTCGAGTTTTGATTCCTGTCCTCTCTACTTTCTGAGGCCTCAGTTCTCAGAGCGCTGAGTTTCCCCTGTACCTTCTGGCCAGTTGGATCTTCACAAAAGTCCTGTGAGGTGGATTGTTATTTATCCCCGTTTTACAGATCAGGAAACCTCTTGCTAGGGTTGGAAGATGGTATGGCCAGATTTAAACCCTGGAAGTTCTGCTCCATTGCTTGTGCTTATTCACCGCACTATACCACACATCCACCTAGACTGTGAGGGCAGTGGAATCCTGGAATAGATAGAAGGTGGTGCAGAAAGACTTAGGACTCTAGAATATCCAAATCAGAGAATTCTAGAATGTTCCAAAGACAGAATCTTGAACTCAGAACTTTGCAATAATAGAATCTCAAGCTGAGGATTTTAGGCTCTGTAGAACTTTAATTAGGCATTTCTGGGTGGTGAAATGGAGCCCTGGTGGCACAGTGGTTAAGAGCTTGGCTGTTAACCAAAAGGTCGGCAGTTTGAATCCACCAGCCACTCCTTGGAAACCTTACGGGGTAGGTCTACTCTGCCCTATAGGGCTGCTATGAGTCAGAATCCACTTGACAGCAAGGGGTTTGGGTTGTTTTGGTATGAGTGGTCCAAATGATTTTCACTCAACTCTAGGGTCACTATGAGTCAGAACTGACTCAGTGGCAATGGGTTTGGTCTGGTTTGGTCTTACTAAACTAAAGGTTGGAGGTTTGAACACACCCAGCTGTGCCGTGGAACAAAGGGCTGGTGATCTGCTTCCTTAAAGACTACAGCCAAGAAAATCCTATGGAATAGTTCTACTCTGTGACACATGGGATCGCTATGAGTCAGAATTTGGTTTTTTGGTTTTCAGAACTTTAATCACAGTCTCAAGGTTCTTACAGCTTCAGAAGCAAGGCCTCATAGAGATTTCAGGAGCCGCTAAGAAAAGCTGGTTTGCCTCCTCCTTTCACAGTTGGGGCAACTGAGGCCTGAGGAGCGGAGGGGACTCCTTGCCCAAGGTCACACACTTCCAACACACCCAGAGGAGCTGCCAGTCCTGACAGGTTCTGTTCCCACGGCTTCCCAGACAGAGGCTGTGTTGGCATTTCCCGGCCCACCGTGCTGCCCATACCTGCATCACCAAAGCGAAGCACTTGGTGCAGTGGGAGGTGGCAGGGCTGGCAGATGTCGAGGCTAGAATGGGGATAGCACTGGCCTGACTGGTTCCTGCTGGCCTGGCCCCTGCCACTGGGCCAGTGACCACAGCCACCCATCCACCCTGGCCACTCCCTGTTCCTCCTCCTAACACTAGGTTTGTGTCAGCCATGCCTCCCCTGGGTGGGGACGTGGGGGAGAGGAATCTGAGCGGTCCCTCCTCTCTGGGACCACCCCAGTCTGGTGGAGATGACTCAGAATAACAAATAAGATTTGGGTGTGAAGCCTAGTACTAATGACTTCTTGCTGGGTGACCTTCAGCATGTTTTTGAACCTCACGTTCTTGCCTACAAACGTCATTTTTGGTGTCCCCGGGGTGGTACAAATGGTTAACACGCTTGGCTGCTAACTGAAAAGTTGGAGGTTCGAGTCCACCCAGAGGCACCTCGGAAGAAAGGCCTGGTGATCTACTTCCCAAAAAATCGGCCACTGAAAACCTTATGGAGCACAGTTCTACCCTGATGTACACGGGGTTGCCATGAGTCGGAATCAGCTCGATGGCAATTGGTTTTTTTAAGGTGGTTTTGACTATTGGATGCAGTATTGGGTGCATAATTCTAGAAGGCGGTGGGTCCTTGATGAATGATGGTTGTTTTTATTACCTGATAGCCCAAGCAACTGGCATAGGTCCTGGCACACAGTAGGCAGCATAATTATTATTTAAAAAAATGTCCCCAGCGTCTAGTCCAGTGTCTGGTCCAGAGTAGGCATTCAATAATTGATAGCTATTATTATTACATCCTAGGTTCACTATAAGGAGCCCTGGTGGCTAACCGAAAGGTTGGAGGTTCTAACCCTCCCAGCCGCTCCCTGGGAGAAGGACTTGGCAATCTGCTCCGGTAAAGATTACAGCCTAGGAACCCCTCTGAGGGCAGTTCTGCTCTGTTACATGGGGTCCCTATGAGTCAAAATCGACCTGAGGCACCTAACAACAACAGGTTCAACTAATAATGCCTGGCAAATAGTAGGTAATCAATAGTTCGAATCCACTAGCCGCTCCTTGGAACTCTATGGGGCAGTTCTACTCTGTCCTATAGGGTCGCTGTGAGTCAGAATCGACTCGACAGCAATGGGCTTGGTTTGGTTTTTATAAGTCCTATTAGAGCTGAGATAAAGAGACGGACCAGGAGCCGAGTAGAGAGTAAATTGTTCAGAGCCTTGTAAAGAGGAGTTGGGACTTCTAGGTGGCATGTGAACTGGGCGTTGAAGGAGTTGGCAATTCCTAGCTGGGAAGCGGAGGGAGGGGCAAGGCGCTTCCAGTGGAAGGAACATGGAGTGTAAAGACGCTGGCCCCTCCACCCGTCAGCCCCACGTTCCTTGTGGGCAGGCTTTGGAGGGGCGGGATTTGAGAAGGCTCCTCCCCCCCTACAGGCGCCCTGCTCGGGCCGGCACCATGGACAGCGAGGCATTCCAGAGCGCGCGGGGCCTTCTGGACCTGAACTTCCAGTGTGAGCTGGGGTAGGGGGCGGTGCTTGCCGGGGTGGGGCCTTCGGTAGCAGGGGCGGGGCCCTGCAGGAGGCCCCACCCTTAACCCCCACCCCCCACCCCCCGGTTCCCAGCGCTGGCCATGAAGCACATGGACTTGAAGCAGATGGAGCTGGACACCGCGGCAGCTAAGGTAGACGAACTGACTAAGCAGCTGGAGTCGCTGTGGTCAGACTCACCGGCGCCTCCTGGTCCCCAGGCTGGAGCCTCCTCTAGGGTGAGCCCACCTGCCTTGGTCCCCACCCTGGCCCCCAAAGCCAGCTTCTCTCCACACCCTTGGTAGAGGCCTGGATTTCAAGCAAGGCTGTCACATACGGTCGTGCAGGTTGTGGACTTTTCAAAGACATTGGAGAGGACCAGCAGGACCCTCAGAAAGAAAGGGGCCTTTCCCTAGACTGCACAAACGTAGTGCATGGTCTAGCCTCAGCTCTGCGCAAAGGCACTTAAGGGCTAGCCTCAACTCTGATTTCAGGGCTCTCCCCAGCATTCCTCACCTGGGCTCTCTGCCTGAATCTCCAGCTGGTGTCCGATTCCCTTGGGTTGACCTTCGATGACCTCTTTTGACTCTCTACCGACCCCTCCACTAATGTCTCCCTTTGCCCCTCCATGGCCAGGCACAGCGGTCCCGGTACAGCTCCAGCCCAGTTCCCGAGCCCTTCAGCAGCCGCGGGTCCCCCCGGAAGGCGGCCACCGATAGCACAGACACCTCGTTGGGACGCTCGGAGGGCGCCCCGGCCCTGCCTCCCTACAGCCAGCTGTCCACCAAGGGCCGGCCGTCGTCGCCGCGCACCGCGCTCTACCTGCAGCCGGATGCCTACGGCAGCTTGGATCGCGCGCCGTCGCCCCGGCCGCGCGGCTTCGATGGCGCAAGCGGTTCCCTGGGTCGCGCGCCCTCCCCGCGGCCTGGGCCTGGCCCATTGCGCCAGCAGGGTCCCCCTACGCCTTTCGATTTCCTGGGCCGCGCCGTCTCCCCGCGTGGCAGCCCCCTGGCGGAGGGGCCCCAGGCCTTCTTTCCTGAGCGCGGGCCCTCACCGCGCCCCCCTGCCGCTGCCTACGACCCACCGGCGGCGTTCGGGAGCCCCCTGCCGGGCGCCGGCGGCAGCGCCTTCGCGCCGCCTCTGCGAGCCCAAGGTGAGCGCCGGGCTGGGACGCGGGGAGACCTGTGCAGGGTGCGGACCCGGATCAACCTCCGCCCGCGCCCTCACTCGGAAACCTCTTCCCAGACGACCTGACACTGCGCCGGCGGCCCCCCAAGGCTTGGAACGAGTCCGACCTGGACGTGGCGTACGAAAAGAAGTCTTCGCAGACCTCCAGCTATGAGCGTGAGTGCTGGGAGGCACGAGGAGGGGGGAGGGCAGGAAGGGAGGCCCCCCAGACCCTAACGATCCCCTCCTCGCAGGCTTGGACGCCTTCGCGCGGCCAGCCTTGCCTGTCCTGCAGCTGTCACCCTGGAGAGAGAGCAGCCTGGATGGACTGGGGACCGCTGGCAAGGTGACAGGCGGGGGAAGCTGGGGGATGGGAAACGGGTATAGGGGGGTCAGGACCAGTCTCCACCGCCTGGCTGCCCCCCAGCCTTGTGGATTCCCACCCTTTCCCAGGCTTTTCCTTGCTATCAGTCCCTCGAGCTTCCCTCTCGCTTTTTTGTCCTTCCCTCTCCTCCCTCATCCTTTCCTTGCTCTCAGCTTCCTCCCGCCTGAGTCCCTTCCCTCCTTTTCTCCCCTAGGACAATTTCACCAGCGCCACCCTGCCCCGCAATTACAAAGTGTCCCCTCTGGCCAACGACAGGCGTTCCGATGTGGGCAGCTACCGCCGCTCCCTGGGCTCCGCGGGGTCTGCAGGCACTTTGCCCCGCAACTGGCAGCCCATCAGCCGCATCCCCATGCCCCCTTCTAGCCCCCAGCCCCGTAGTGCCCCCCGCCAGCGCCCCATCCCCCTCAGCATGATATTCAAGCTGCAGAATGCCTTCTGGGAGAATGGGGCCAGCAGGGCCGTGCTCCCTGGCTCCCCGATGTTCAACCGGGCACCCCCGCCTAAGCTGCCTCCCCAGTCCCAGCCTCCCCCCCAGCCTCAGCCACAGCCTCAGCCCCAACCCCCTGCCCCAGCCCCACAAATCCCCCAACAGACACGGCCCCCTGTGAGCGAAGGTGAGTCCTCAATAGAGCCCCCAAAGGACTGGGTGATGGGATGACAAATTGGGGGAGCCATCGGGGCCCAACACCTTTTCCAGGCACTGTCGCTGCAGAGAGATAGGTCATAAGAGCTTGGAAATTTGCTCAGGTGGCAGGGATAGCACCGTAGATAGGCATGGTCACCAGAGCCAGACTGCCTAGCTCCAGGCTGTTTGACCTTAGGAAAGTCACTTAACCTCTCTGAGCCTCAGTTCCCTTAAGTGTAAAAGGAGAGTAATGATAGAACCTGCTTGACTGGAATATTGTATTAGATAATTTAATCCATATAAACTCCTTAAAATAGCACCAGATGCATAGTAACCCCTCAATAGCTATCATATTGGTTGTAATAATAATTCATATTTTTTGGTGCAAGATCAGAGGAGTTACAAATACAGGACCTAGAGTCAAGCAGAGTGGGTTTGAGCCCCTTTTGACAATTGACTTGCTATGTGATCAGTATAAATTTCTTAACCTCTCTGAGTCTCAGTTTTCTCATCTATGAAGAAAAATTGATAATACCTGCCTTAACCAAATCCAAACTGTTGCTGTCAAGTTGATTCCAACTCATAGTAACCCTGTAGGACAGAGTAGAACTGCCCCATGGGGTTTCAAAGGAGTGGCTGGTAGATTTGAACTGCCAACCTTTTGGTTAGCAACCAAGCACTTAACCACTTGGGCCACCAAGGACAGCGACTATTATTAGTAGTAATATTTACTAATAATATAAACAATCTCAGTAATGTAATATTATGTTACTATTATTAATAGTAGTAATAATGCTATTATTACTAAAAATTATTATTAATATTATATACGGAGCCCTGGTGGCACACTGGTTGAGTGCTTGGCTACTAATCAAAAGGTTGACAGTTCAAACCCACAAGCTGTTTCACAGGAGAAAGTTGTGACAGTCTGCTTCTGTAAGAATTTACAGCCTTGGAACCCCTATAGGGGCAGTTCTACTGTGTCATATAGGGTCACTATGAGTCAGAATCAACTTGAAGGCAATGAGTTTTGTTGGTTTGGTTTTAATATTATATAATAATATTATTAGTAATAATTGTTAGTAATAATATCAGTAATGTTATTAGTGATGTTTATTACTATTATTATTACCATTCATATTTATTACTGTTATGCTTTAGAAGCATCTCTAGAGGGGAATAAGACAGAGAGGAGAGACCACTGAGTGTCAGGATTCCAGTCCCAGGAGGAGTTTTCTTAGAATCTTAGAAAGTCAAGTCTGCCATGGTTGGTAGGAGCACAGATTCTGGAGTCAGGATGGAGTTAAGATCCCGGCTGTGTGCTTTGGTCAACTGACCTGCCCTCTCTGAGACTCAGTTTCCCTTTCTGTAATAGGCAATGACAGCAGTATCTACCTCACGAGGTAGTGGGAAGAATTCAATAAGATAGGCTTGTCAAATGCCAGGCACGTAATCATTGCTGGATAAATGGGAGGTGCCATAATTTTATATTATTCACAGCTCAGGAAAGTGTAGCCCAGAGAGGGTAGGGAACTACTCTGAGGTCACATAGCAAGTGCTGTTAGCAGGCCCTGGAAGTTGTGGGGAAGGAGTCTTGGGGGAGGTCTCCTCTGATGGATCTCTTGTTCCTGCTAGGCCCCCCCAAGCCCCCTGCTGAGCTGGAGCCTGAGCCGGAGCTGGAGGGGCTGCTGACACCAGGGCTGGAGGCTGGTGATGTGGACGAAGGCACCCTAACTCGGCCCCTCAGCCCCACGCGGCTGCAGCCAGCGCTACCGCCTGAGGCGCAGTCAGTGCCTGAGCTGGAGGAGGTGGCTCGGGTGCTGGCGGAGATTCCACGGCCCCTCAAACGCAGGGGCTCCATGGAGCAGAGCCCTGCTGTGGCCCTGCCCCCCACCCACAAGAAGCAGTACCAGCAGATCATTAACCGTCTTTTCCATCGTCAACGACCAGGGCCTGGGGGGCCGGAGCCTGAGCTGTCCGCTATCACTGAGGGATCTGAGGCCAGGGCAGGGCCCCCAGCCCCTGCCCTACCAGCTCCCATCCCACCCCTGGCCCCACCCCAGAGCAGCCCATCAGAGCAGCCACAGAACATGGTAAGTGATACAGGAAGACACTGAGGTGTATTAGTTAGCATAAGGATCCAGCTGCTGTAACCAAGAGACTCTAAAATGTTGTGGCTTTAATGAGATACAAGGTCCCCGATGGTGCAAATGGTTTATGCTTGACTGCTAACCTAAAGGTTGGCAGTTTGAACCCATCCAGCAGTGCCATGAAAGAAAGGCCTGGCACTCTGCTTCCTTAAAGATTGCACCCAAGAGAACGCTATGGAGCAGTTCCACTCTAACACATGGGGTCGCCATGAGTCAGAATTGACTCAACAGCAATGAATTTGGGTTTTCTGGTTTAATGTGACAGAAGTTTATTTCTCTTTTGAGCAGGAGTCCAGGAATAAGTAGTCCAGGGCTGGTAGACGGCCCTGTGGAGTCAGGACCCAGGCTCTGTTTACTTGGGGTTCCACCATTCCTTGGGGGTTACCTTGCCTTCATGGCCCACAATGACTCCCACCAAGCCTGCATTCCAGCCAGGAAGAGGGAAGGAAGAAGAGGAAGTGGTCCTTCCGTTTTAGGACAGAACCTGGGAATTGCACACATCTGTTTGCCTCCAACCCACTGGCCAGGAATCTAGCTGCAAGGGAGGCTGGAAATGTAGTCTTTAATCTAGGTGTGCCCATGTTCAGAAGGGGAGAATGTGTATGGAGGGGCATCCACCTGGAGACTTTCTATGCTCCTTCTCTTCAGTAAACTGCCCCCCTGGGCATCCCTTCAGGAATCTCAGTCTCACAGCCTGGAAATGACTGAATCTTGGGTTTATTCTGGAACCTGGAAAGCATGTCTGAATCAAGGCACTGTCTCTCTCTCTGGGAGCCAGACGGTCTCACATGTCTACCCTCTGTGGATCTGCTTTCTCCTCTGGTTTATCTGTCTGTCTACCTATCTATCCATCCATCCATCCGCTCTGTCCTCTTACCCCTCAAGAAGCCTATGGGTAAAAATGGCCCACCCAGCCCCAACTCAAAATAACTTCTTAGTTCAAACCCATACTGTCCTCTGACTCCACTCTGAGCCTCTTCTGTTTCAAATTTTCAAGAGCAAATCTGGTCCCTGAGGCCGTGGGTGTCATGGTTAAGCACAGCAGCTGCAGAGCTGGTCTGTCTGGATTCAAATCTCAGCTCCACACAACTTAATCGCTGAGCAACCTTGGGAAGGACACTTAGCCTCTCTGGGCCTCAGGTTCCTCGTCTGTGAAATGGGGATGAGGATAATAGCACCCACCACATAGGATTCCTGTGAGGTTTAAATATATAAAGATAGTTAAAGTGCTTAGGAGCCCTGGTGGCATGGTGGTTAAGTGCTCGGCCGCTTAAAGATGGGGCAGTCTGCTTCCATAAAGATTTACAGTCTTGAAACCCTGTGGAGCAGTTCTATTCTGTCGTATAGGGTTGCTGTAAATCAGAATCGGCTGGCCAGCAGCTGGTTAAAGTGCTTCAGATAGCATTTGGTACCTCATAACTGCTGACTGCTGTCATCGTTCTTATCATTTCATCGGCAGTCCATGGATGGTCTCCTGATGATATTGGTCCAGTTCTTGGCCAGGGAGAGTGGTGTGGGTGTGTGCAGACACAGGGAATAATCCTGAATACCAGATATGTGTGAGTAGAGGAGAATTTGCGGTCATGTGGATACCCCTACACGTCTCAGGCTCTCCTGAGGGTGGATCCAAGGAATGTTGAGGTCAGGATCTTGACATTAAGAGTGGAAAAATGACAATGTCTTGAACTGGTAGAGTTGTCCCATGGTAGACTCACACATCCTGGCCACAAAGAAACTTGAAAAATCACAGAATTCAAGAATTACATCCTGGCACCAAAATGTCAGAATGGTGACATTTCAGAATCTGAGTGTACTTAGGATTTGAATAATAGGATCTTAGAATTATAAAGTTAGTATCGTGGACTTCGGACTCCCTGGGTGGTGCAAATGGTTAACGCGCATGGCTGCTAACTGAAAGATTAGAGATTCAAGTCCACCCAGAGATGCCTCAGAAGAAAGGCTTGGCGATTTACTGAAAAATCAGCCATTGAAAACCCCATGGAGCACAGTTCTACTCTGACACACATGGGGTTGCTATGAGTCAGAATGGACTCAACGGCAACTTTTGTTTTATCACGGACCTTGGTTGTTACTAGTACTTGAAGTTACCAAACCTGAAAATTATAGAATCTTGTAATTTGAATCATAAAAATCACAGATTAGTGCACTAATATGTTATAATGCAGAATTCTATTTAATTAACATTTTTCACTTTAAAGGAATATACAAACACCATACAGAACTTGGGAGAAATAGACAAAAGTAGAACGAAGATGACAGTCACAGCACTTAGAAAGAAACATGGTTAACATTTTGAGTGTATCTTTTCAAGCTTTTGGAATGAAATTCTGTCTGTAAAACATTAAAGTTCTCAATCATAGGATCTCAGGATTGTCAAGTTCCGGACCCTCAGCAAAATGAAACAGCACCACTTAGAACTGATAGAGTCACAGCATACTGAAAACTCTGATGGCCGAGCCTCAGAGAATCTTGGAATCAGCAACTGCAGCTCTTGGGATCTCTGAATTCCAGAACCTTGAACTTACTGAAATTCTAGAGACAGTCAAGGCCAGAATCACAAACTTTACATACTCAGAATAAATGAATCTTGCATGGGGAGAATTGAAAGTTAAAAATAAAAATGCAAGGAATAATATAAATATTCATATCCCAAACATCTGGTATTGACAGTCAGTAATATTTTGTCAGGAGCCTTGGTGGCACAGTGGTTAAGCACTTGGCTGCTAACGGAAAAGTTAGAGGTTCAAACCCACCAGCTGCTCCTTGGGCAAAAAGACTTGGCTATCTGCTCCCTTAAAGGTTACAGCCTAGGAAACCCTATGGGGCAGTTCTTTGTCCTACGGAGTAGCTATGAGTTAGAATCAACTCGATGGCACACACCAACAACAGTATTTTGTCACATGTGCTTCATATCATTTCTTCTCAAAGAAATGATTCTGTGTGAATTGAATAACTGGCTTCCACAATCACCACCTGGAAGGGGTAGAATTACTTTGCCATCAACTCGGTACTCTCCCAGCTTCCTTTTAGGGCTCATGGCTCAAGAATCCAAAGTCACAGGATTCCCTGACTGTTGTAGGGAATCAGAGGCTATAGGAGAACTGAGGCACCACCCCACTACCACCACTCTGGACCTCTCTGGGTGGGTTCCAATCCAAACCCTGCCCTTGTCTAGCTGGGTGGCCAGGGGCAGTAACTGCCCAGTCCCTGGGCCTCTGTTTCTCACTCTAGGTAATGGGTATACTAACAGCCCCTTCCCAAGTCGCTGAACCCCCGCCCTGTCTCCAGGAGATGCGTTCGGTGCTGCGGAAGGCTGGCTCCCCGCGCAAGGCCCGCCGCGCGCGCCTCAACCCGCTGGTGCTGCTGCTGGACGCGGCGCTGACCGGGGAGCTGGACGTGGTGCAGCAAGCGGTGAAGGAGGTGAGTTCTGCCCCCCCGCTAGCTGGGCTGTGGGGAGGGGACGATCGCGGGGCAGCCGCAGGACTGAGCGCCCCTGCCCAACCCCGTGCAGATGAACGACCCGAGCCAGCCCAATGAGGAGGGCATCACGGCCCTGCACAACGCCATCTGCGGTGCCAACTACCCCATCGTGGACTTCCTCATCGCCGCGGGCGCCAATGTCAACTCCCCAGACAGCCACGGCTGGTAAGTCCGGACCCGCATGAGGTGGGCGCGGGCGGGGATGGCGCTGCGGGTAGGACTCCCGCGGCCGGGCGCAGCCTCTTTCTCACTCCTGCCACCCACCCACAGGACACCATTGCACTGCGCAGCGTCGTGCAATGATACGGCCATCTGCATGGCGCTGGTGCAGCACGGCGCTGCCATCTTCGCCACCACGCTCAGTGACGGCACGACCGCCATTGAGAAGTGCGACCCCTACCGCGAGGGCTATACCGACTGCGCCACCTACTTGGCAGGTGCAAGGCAGGGCTGGGGCGTTTCCGGGAAGTGCGGAGGGGCACATGGGGGCTGGACAGCCCAGCTGACAGGTGCGCAGGTGGGGGAGGGGTGGCAGCCTGCCACCCGCGAGGAGCGGGGAGGCCTTGGGAGTTTGAACCAACCACGCAACAAATGGGGGAGTGGCGGCGGGCTCCAACTGTGTCACCTGTGGGGGCTGTGCCATCCACTTGGCAGGACAGCGGAGGAGAAGAGGGCTGCCTACCTGGCAGGTGCAAGCTGGGCGGGGGGCGGTGAGCGGCTACTTTTGAGGGACGGGGACATGGGGTTGCCATGTGACCTGGACACCTGTGGAAGAAGAGTGGTCGTGGAGATTGTATTGCTCATCTGCACGCTCACCTGTGGGGGTGGAGAGTTGGCCATTGCACCTGTACCATCTACCTGACACAGGGCTGGGCAGGTGAGCTCTGTCACCTGTGGGAGAGGCAGTACCACACACCTTGCAGGTGAGCAGGCAGTGACTGCTTGGGAGGGGGCTGTACCACTTGTAGGGAAGACATGGGGCTGTACTATGTATCTCCAGGGGCAAGCTACATCACCTGAGGAAGTAGAGGCATGGTACTGAGCCACCTGGTTCCCTAATAGGAGGGCGAAGTAGGCTGTAGCCTGGGGGCTTGCAGAGAGTCTGTACTACACCCCTGGAGAGGCAAGTTGTACCATTCAGTGGGGGATAGGGACTTCACAGAAAGTTGGAGGAAGTCAGGCTGGGTTAGGTATTTGAGAGGTCAGCCTGGAGGGGCTACATGACAGCAGACTCTGCCATCTGTGGCAGAAAGTGAGCAAGAGGCACAGGGCTGTAACGCCTGTGGCACAGGTGAGCAGGGGCAGACATGGACTGCACACTCTGGCAGGAGGTAGATCATTTACCGGACGGGCGAAGGGAGCAACCTTTTTTTTTGGTGGGGGGGCTGGGCCGTTACACTTTTGTCACAGGTAGGTGAAACCTATGAGATTTGGCCTCTTAGGGTCGCTATGAGCCTGAATCTCCACAGCAACAGGTTACCTGCCTCGAACTAGAAGGGTTCTGTGAAGGTGAAGTAGAGATTGGACCATGCACCTGGAAGGGAGGAGAGGAGAAGCTAGAACACAGTGGACTGAACCACTTAAAGGGGTGGGGCATGGTGGACTATACCATCGCGAAAGGGGCTAAATCCTTGTTGGAGACAGTACCACTTAAGTGGGGAGGTTAGGGTGGGCTGTACCAACTGGAGAAGAAATGACATCCTCTTTGGAGACTACCACTTGGGCATGTGGAGTTGCACCACCTGGAAAGGGTGCTGATGGGACCATACGGGGTGCGAGGAGGGGGAGGAAGTAGGGTGGACTGTACCATCTGAAGAAAGGTTTAAATCCTCTGTGAGGACTGTACCGCTTAAGCTGGGAGCAGAGAACTGTACCTCTGGGGCCGATATGGGAATTTAACAACGCGCCAGAGGGGAATGGGTACCACTTACCCTACCAGAACTGTTGGTGGCCCAGCTTGATGCACCCCAATGATGTTGCATGCTAGGGAATTCCTGTCCCGGCATCTGACGCCAGCTCTCCCTTCCCAGACAGGGCACACACAACCTCCCAGGTGGTTCCTCCCCCAGCCCTGAGCAGGTCTGACCCGCGGGGCCTGTCCCTGTCCCCAGCATGCCCCGCGTCCCCAGAGGTTCCTGGGTCTCACAATCCGGCATCTTTCAGATGTGGAGCAGAGCATGGGACTGATGCACAACGGGACAGTGTACGCGCTCTGGGACTACAGCGCGGAGTTCGGGGACGAGCTGTCCTTCCGTGAGGGCGAGTTGGTCACCGTGCTGCGGAGGGACGGGCCAGAGGAGAACGATTGGTGGTGGGCCACACTGCACGGCCAGGAGGGCTACGTGCCCCGTAACTACTTTGGGGTGAGCCCGGAGGAGATACAGGGAGACTCCTGATGGACAACTGGGAGGCCGTTGGGGAAGCAGAAGATCCCACAGTAAAAATGGGGCGAGAGGGAGCGAGGCCGTTAGAGTGATGGACGGATTCGGAAGAGTCCATTATTGATTGTGGGGAGACAAGGAAAAGCCCATTATAGTAATGGAGGAAGTAAGGGGCAGTCCGTTACAGCTAGGGGGGCAGGTGAGGAAGAGCCCCTTAGAAGACTCGCACTTATGTGGGGGGTATATTTCGTAGGGTATATAACTAGTGCAGTTCACTGGTTATTTGCCTGGGCAGTGCCCCGTCAAATATTTTGATTATCATCCCTGATCATATTGATGGGGAAGTTAAAGAAGAATCCATTTTAGCCGTGGGGAACTACCAAAAAGAGTCCCATTTTAGTGATAGGGAAAGTTAAAAAATTGTAAAATAACAGGCATGGTGGTGAGAAAGCTTTTATTACATCAGATTGGGCAGGGTATGAAAGGACCCATTATTAACAGTATGGTAGAACTGAAGAAGCTTCTACTAGGGTTGAGGAGAGGAGACCAGGAAGATTCTATTATATTCCTGGGAGGGGAGATTCTTTTAATTTGGGGATAGGTGGAAATGAGATCCAAACAGACAGCTGTGGTAGTAGGGAGAGGCAGGCATGGCCTTTATGGCCCCGGGGACAACTGGGAATATTCCCTTTCATCAATGGGGCTGGCAATTGGAAGGTTCCACCTGGTGCTTGGAAGTGTTGGGAATTGAGGGTTCCCGAGTGATCTGGAAGATGCTGAAAGAGTCCATTAGGAAGGGATGGGGGATTGGAGACAGTACATATATTTTAGGGTGGGAAGATGAGGATGGAATTAGGGGTGTCCATTAAAGTTGGGGGTGAGTTGAGCCGTGGGAGCTCCTGGTGTCTGTCTGAAGTTCCTGTCTCCGCAGCTCTTCCCCAGGGTGAAGTCTCAGAGGAATAAGGTCTAGCAGGAGAGAAGGACATTTCCAAGGGACACTGGAAGAAGAAGCCCTGCCTTGGCTTCTGACCTCCGCCTCCATTACTGCTGCATCTTTATGCCCCCAGCCCAGTAGGGGGCGCAGTCCTCGCCACTAGTTCTCTGCTCTCGTGGAAGCCCCTGGGAGATCTGGGAGAACTCAGCCTTCAGTTGAAGAATCTGCCTTAGCCACAGGAGGTTGAGGTGGGGCTGGGAATCATTCAGGGGGGCAGGAGATCCTCCATTTGCCAAATCAGGCCCCGTCCAAAGTGCCTCTCCCTCTTCCTGCCACTGTGCCTCAAAGCAAGCCGCCTCAATCCCAGCTGAGCCTGGGATGGGCCGTTGCCACTCCATTTCCCGGGGAGTCACCTCTTAACCCACCTCTCCCAGCGGCTTTGGGGACTGGATGAGGCCCACTGGCATCCCCTAGGATCCCTGCCTCACCTCATCCCGCCCAGTAAAGTGACTTCACACAGCTCTGGTTTTATGTTTATAACAAAATGGGGAACTTTTTCTTTATAAATAAAGGTAGTTTGCACAGAAATTGGCTTCTTTCTCTTTTGATTCCATTCTGACTCCATAAATGCTCATTGTTATTATTTTTGGCAAACCAGTCTAAAAATACCCCTTTGTAAGGAAGTTCCCTCACATACTTCCAATCTTTACTCTTTCACTTAGGTCTACTCTTCCCCCCACCCCCACCCCTGTCCCCCTAAACCC